GGACGAGGGACGCGCCGCCCCAGTCCCTGGAGGAGCCAGGCTAGTGCCAGCCCCAGCCCAGAGTGCGCGTCGCCCCTGCCCCCTCGGGCTGGGCTGGGCGTGTGGGGTCCCCTTGTGCCCACACTGTGCTCATGCCGCGCCTTCCTGCCCGCTTACGGTTCAGTCCCTCGACGCTTGCATGGCTGTCGGCATCGCCGCTCAGGCAGACGCTGCGGGGGCCACGCCCACCCCCCGGCCGGCCCAGGCGGGGGGGGCCAAGTGGAAAATGTTCCTTTCGGTGCACTATGAGCCTCCTGGACATTGGCACCCACCCTGCAGCCACAGGCGCTCCTCCCGCTCCAGCCTCACTGCAAGCTGGGCCCTTTGGACGTGCATTGCCTGCAGCCTGCTTGCTGCCGCGACACCCCAGGGCTTAGGCGTCCAAGGGAAATAGCCCGTTTGTGCTCGGAGGCTGGGGAGCAGGGCTTAGCGCAGCCTGTAGATGCTCCTAGGCCATTTGGAATTGAAGCAGACCCAGGCCCCCAGGTTCTGTGCGCGGTTAGTCTGTGTTGGCTCCAGAAGGCCCTTACTCTCCAGTAGCTACGCAGAATGGCTGGGGCCCCACGTGGCCGCTCTGAGTCCTGGGTGAAGCCCAGAACATGCGCCCTCTGTTTGCATGGGCACCACTGCAGCTTTGCTGTTGGGTCGGGCTTTGAATGTCCAAACACTCAGGTTTTCCACCTGGCGATGCAGCCGGAATTCCGACTGGGACGGGGACGGATTTTTTGTCTCTGGCACTGGGCTGCCCCCGCGCTTTAGGTGTCAATAAGTCCATTCTCAGCTATCAAAGTCACCTACTCAGGCAGCTGAGGAAAAGCAGAAAAGTTACTGGGCACCAGGCAAGTAGCGTTCTCTCCTCTGCTCCCTGCGAGCTTTGGGGCTCCTGCCACCAGGCCAAGGGCAGGAGGTGCCTGGCACTGACTTGGGTGAAAGGTCTCTCCCTCTCAGATCCCCCCTTCAGAGCTGTGCCCGAGGGGCGCGGGGACACGGCCACAAGCGGTGTTCTCTTCGGGAGCACAGTAACCTTTTGGCCTTGTCTGTTTCATTTGTCACGTGCAGGGATTCCTCCCGGAAAGCAAGTTCAACCGGATCCTAACGGAGCCTGTGCTCCGAGACGCTGGGCCCCGTCGCAGAGGGAGGAGGCCAAGAAGCGAACTTATTAAAGCCCCTGGTGTGTCGGATTCTTCTGGAATGGGACCATTATTCATGAATGGACTTATTGCTGGGATGGATCTGGTGGGACTTCAGAACATGAGGAACATGCAGGGCATCCCTTTGACTGGGCTGGTTGGGTTTCCTGCTGGATTTGCAGCAGTGCCTGCTGGGGAGGATGTCAAGAGCACCCTGAGTATGTTGCCTATGATGCTGCCGGGCATGGCTACCGTACCGCAGATGTTCGGTGTTGGAGGACTTCTCAACCCACCAATGACAACTACCTGTACTTCAACGGCGTCAGCTTCCTTAACAAGCACAACTAAAAGTGGTACATCAAATACAGAAAAAGCTACTGATGACAAACAGAGTAGCCAGGATGTGAAAAACGAGCCTCTGTCTGAAAATGAGCCTGGCCCTAGTTCCTTTTCTGATCAGACAGAATCAGCAATAACTACTAGTAGTCCAGTAGCTTTTAATCCGTTTCTTATCCCAGGAATGTCTCCTGGACTGATCTATCCCTCTATGTTTCTTTCCCCTGGTATTGGCATGCCATTGCCAGGTATCCAACAGACCAGACACTCTGAGGCAACAAACCCAGAAAGCCAGAAGCGAAAGAAAAAGAAAACTAAAGGGGAGCCAACAAATCCAGAACCAGAAACTGTCTCACTGTCTGAAAAAGAAGCTGCAAATAGTCAAAACTGTACAGAGCAAACCCCATCTTTGTCATCAGAGAAAGCCCATGCGATACCAGCGGAGGAGAAGGCGTTAAAAGAAATTAACAATACCAATTAGAACTTTTGTTTCATTAAGAAAAAAGATTGTGGCTTGTAAGTTTCTTATCCCATAAATATTTGTTACTTACTTACCTTCCTGCCCCCCTTCACCTTCATAAACCTGTGTTTCCATGAGTAATATTATCTACCTAGTTCCCCGTAAGAAAACAATGGTGACAAATTCTATGTTGATAGTTGCAGGGTCTTGCCACTTTATTAGATAAACAGTGTTGTTTAGTTAGTACGGGAGGCACAGAATTCTTGTTCTGTTACCCAGTTATTCATCCCTACCAACAATAGTAAATCCAGCCCTTGCTGACCCCCCCCCCCAAAAAAAATGCTAATTTATCAGGGGAAAAAGAAAAAAAACAAAACGGGAGCAAAAGGAAGTACTTCATCTCTTGATCTCAGTGCAGACAAGGGTATGGCTTTGTACAATGACACTGAATGAATAAAACTGTATTTTGGGGTAAAAAGCACAGCTATAGTAAGTGCTAATGTGTATTTTTGATTTAAAGTATTTCCCTATTTTATCATGGTTACTAGAATAGTAGTATAGACAGAAGTATATAACTAATGATTGAAAACGCATATATTCGTTTCTTTAAAAAGGCATAACTGGTAGAGAGATCATTCCCTCCCCTTTCATTCCTCAAAGGTTTGGAGACAAACTGCATTAAGACTTTATTTTACGTTTTAAAACCAAAGCTTGGTTTTACTTTAAGTGGGATTTCAGTTGCCCTTTCCTTGTTAGTTACAAGACCTTTTCCAGCTTTTGCTGAAAAGGTTTTGCACATCCTGTATGTCCTCCCTTGAGGTTCCTGGACCGGAAGCTACCAGTGACTTCACCATTCTGCTAGAGTTCAGTTCTCAGCTATAGCATCAGAAGTCCTGTGAAGCGTTGTTTCTCCAGCAATGAGCAGGCCGCTCCTGTAATGCTCTTATAGGAATGCCAAGGCTCTTGAGTTTTTACATTTTCTTTGCAGTTCTCCTTCCCCCATAAGTGACAACTTTTCTGGAAACAAACGCAGGCAGGCAGACAGCTGTCAGGCTGGCATTACAACTGCAAGTCCGTCCAGGACTGTGGAGGGTTTCAAAGCTTGAGTTCATCTTCCTTTTCTAGGATTAAACTGTGAAGAGATTCTTTGCTCCTTCTTTCCATTCCTCTCGATTCCATTTGCTGTTGAACAGTGTGTCCCAGCACCTGCATTGGCAAATAGCACTACAGTATGGATTTTAAATGAACAGGTTTTTAATGTGATCAGTCCCCCAAACTCTGTGTCTTGAGACCCCTGCACAGGTAATTCCATGTGGTCCTTTCTCCTCGCTGCTCCTGTTTAGGTTTTTTTTTTTTCACTTGGGCTTGTTCTTATTGCAGCTCATCGTCTGAGACTTGAAATAAACACTTAGTGGTGCAGCAGTGAAATGGCCGACTGTTGGAGGGAGCTGAAGTGGCTAGTAATCAGTTTCGCATTTGATTGTCACCATTTACTGTATTTTTTACTTATTTTCTGTTACAGTTTTCCTAATTTATCAGATGGTCCAAATGTTTTGACATAACTATTTCAGTTTGCATTATTTATTTATGATGCTTTTTCTCATTGTCTTTTATACATTTGGGATTATAAATTATGTACATGTTAAAATTAGCATCTCAAAGAAGTCTGTTACCCATGACCTAAAAGTTTATATTTTCAAGGAATTTATTCCCATTTTATCGGATTGGATGCGAGTTTTTTTAATTATGTAACTGATCACAATGCAAAAAACAGATCATTAAATGTGTTCTATTTAATAACACCCTTGTAGCATAGATACTGTATCACTATTGACAGATTTCTTAGAAATGCTGCTATCTCTATTTAACTAACCGTTTGTTCAGTTTTGCCTCCAGTGGAAGCAGAAGGGGTTTTTTCAGCTGTTAAATCCAAAATCAATATAATTTATTTATGTAAAAAAATCACGACTGATATATTTTTGAACCTTTTGAGTACTAACTTTCTTTTTACTCAGTAGAAAATGTACGTGCCCTAAATCCTTAAAATACAAATGCTATAAAACATCTTCAGAGCCTTACTGTGAATGGGTATAGAAATCTCGGCAGAGTTCATTTCCTACATGGGATGGTGGGTTTTCCAGGGTTGCATTCATAAGAAACAGGGGTCGAAGTGAAATTTATTTAACTAGCCAGCATGTTCTTACTTATCCAACATGTATGTTATGTCTCTGGGTGTTCAGCTTCTTTGGCTGCTGTTGTGTGACCCTTTTTGCAACCCGATAGAGAAACTCTGTGGATTATTTACATTGTAAGACATAAGTGGCTTTTTATTATTTTCCATCATCATATCCAAGAACAAATACCAAGTTTTCACCACTTTCATGGCCACTCACACATACATTTTCCACCAAATGTGCTAACAAAATAAACTGTCTGTGCTCTTGAACATGGATAAAAAGAAAAAGATTTGAAAGTCAAACTTTTATTTTTTTAATTTAGTGACTAGATTATGCTTGTCTTTCAAACTTGGCAGAGCCTTGTCACAGATGTATATAATTTTTTCAGCAAATATATGTGAATGTTTGATTCACTTGACTCAGTGCTCACCGTTACTTACTGTTTGCTCAGCAGGCACACCCTGTCTGTCAGGCCATGGCTCAGGTGAACTGATTGTCGCTGGGTGTTGCTGCCCTGCAGGCTGACTTGATCCACAGACTGAATTCACCAACTGCGTGCTCAGCTGGCTCCATCCAGTGTCTTTGTCCTTGCTGCCTCCCTTCGGTGTTGTGCCCAACAACCTGCCCTAGCTGCTCAAAAGCTAGCTCCCCGAGCAGCCCATGCCACCTCGCAGGGCACAGAGAGCTCCACACTGAGGTCCTACATTAAGAGAATCTGTGAGGACCAACAACTGGTCATAAAACCTCCCAGTGACGAACCCTCTGCCCTTGCACACCACCTTCTGCAGAGGCGCTGAGTGTGTAGTTTGTCCTATTGTGATTCTAAGTGTCTCCTTTTAAACTCTGTACCATGTTAGTAGGTGCCAACCAATGCTTGTAATAGTGAATGGAAGGGTCTCCTTATGCTTCAGACAGGTAGTGAAATTTCCATTTGGCGGCTCTGTAAACAGAAGCGCCAGAAAGCGAAGATGATTCACAGACAGGCACTTCCCCGGCCCTGCCCCCGCCCCTGGACACACCCCATTCTTTGGAATCTTGAAACTTAAAACTGTTTTCTGTCCATGGGTTCCCTGGAATAGGGTGGGTGTGTAATGCCGCTGCTCGCCAGGACCCTGCTGTAGCCACTGTTTTGAGGTAGCTTTATTCTGGGAAGCATGGGGGCAGGGGCAAAAAGTATCAGAGGCAGAGGAAAAAGAGGACCCCCCCCCCCAAGAATGACATGAAGTTAGAATATGCCCCTAAGAAAAACTCCAGGTCCGTCACATTGCACATCTGTTCTTGAGCGTCCCTTTGTTTGGGGGGGCAAATACAGCAAATGGAGTTTGGCTGCAGCCCGCAAGTGCCTTCAGCGGTCACTCAGAATGGAGACCACCCAGTGCCAGGAGCCAGTGCGGGAGTCACTAGCCATCAGGTGAAGCCGTGTGCTCACCAGGGGCTGCACGTGCATCTGCAAACTGAGGGGTGAGGTAACACCCAGCTGTGCCGGAGCTCAGGCACTCTGCACTGGACAGTTAGGGCACTAGGGTTGGTGCTGCCGTTGCAGTGTGTGTTCCCTCACAGCAGCCTGAGCGACAACTCAGGTACTAACAGGATCTCGACAGAGAAATCCCCCCCTGCTCAGAGAGGACTAAACCCCAGAATGAATCTGTTGGCTGGAATCCCGGAGAGTAAAAGATCGCGGTGCGTTTACACGGCGCCTTTCCCCAGAGCTGCCCGGCCACCACGTGCAGTCAGAAAAGCCATGAATAAGTGTTCTCTGTCCAGCTGGGATGGTGCATCGGCTCCCCTCTGCCCTGGAAGGGGTTAATGGAGCCCTGGGAAGTGCAGAAAGCAGCCGATAAGAGGGGCTGTGAGGACCAGCCAATGAGGGGGGTGGGCAGGGCAGCTGCAGTAGTTGGCTGGCTCTTGAGGAGACTTCCGGCTCTGAGCAGGTGTGGGGCATGAACTGCAAGCAGCAGGGGCCAGGGAAGCTAGAGAGAGCTGCTGGCTGCCTGCTAGGACTGGGAGGCCGCAGCCCTGAGGGAAGGGCTGAAAGCGCTGGGGGCCATGGGGCAGTGGCCAAGGGAAATTAACTGAGGCGCTGGAGGGACACAGCGAGTGGTAGCCATCTGCTCGGACTGGAGTAGTGGGGGGGCGTGGGTCCCATCCCCCCAGGCCTCTGAGGAAGTGGCCATGCAATTGGCTGCAGTTGCCAATGAAAGAAGCGGCTGGCCAGTGGACTGCAGGGCAGAACGGCGGCCTGTTGGGCCGTGTCACCCAGAGGATGCTGCCGTCCTAGGAGTGACGGGCCTGAGGCAGAAGTGACGCCTCCTATACAGAGAAGGGTGCACGGGCTAGTGCAGCTACTCCACAGGGAGCCAGCAGGCAGTGCTCCAGGTCTGCACCCCCCCGCTCACACTGCAGGGGGCAGAGTATAATGTCCTGAAATGAAATGTGATCAGGCCTGGGCCAACAACCGCCCGGCCAGGTCTGAGCGATCCTCCCGTGTTTTACTCTCAGCTGAACGAAGGTGCTTCCATGCTCCCTGCTATTCTCCCGGACCACTGGATCCGCACCCACGGGGCAGAGAGATGAGCACTAGCTACAAATACATTCCTCACTTCCTGCAGCAAACTAGGCATTTTCTAGGCATCCTGCACCCAAGTACTGACTCAGCTAACCTGCTTAGCTTCAGCTGCTGGGGTCACAGTGCAGGATGATATGACTGAAAAATCTCCCCTGTGCGGAAAGCAGAAAGTTCTACTGCATAACTCCTCCCAGGCAGTGTTCACTCACCTCACTGGTTTTCTTTGGAGCTGGAGGAATAACTAAAACCCTTTGTGCCACTGGAAAAAGTTTAGAAAAAGGCAACAAAAATGACGAGGGGTTTGGAAAGGGTCCCATATGAGGAGAGATTAAAGAGACTGGGACGTTTCAGCTTACAAAAGAGAGGACTAAGGGGGGATATGATAGAGGTCTATAAAATCATGAGTGGTGTGGAGAAAGTGAATAAGGAAAAGTTATTTACTTGTTCCCATAACACAAGAACTAGGGATCACCAAATGAAATGACGAGGTAGGTTTAAAACAAAAGGAAGTACTTCTTCACGCAGCACATAGTCAACCTGTGGAACTCCTTGCCCAGAGGGTGAGGTGAAGTTCAGGATTCAAGCAGGGTTTGAAACGATTTCAAGAAAGAGCTAGATAAATGCATGGAAGATAGGTCACACCCAGCAGGAGGATCTTTGCAAAGCTGGCCAGCGCTCAGGGCCACCGCTCCTGGCTGTCTCTGATGCGGCAGACAGCGGCACGTCTATGGTAGTGGCCATCTCCATGTGCAGGGTGCTCTGGCTGCTTCTGTCCAGCCTCTCCCCAGGGCGCAGCAGTCCCTGCAGGATCTCCCCCTCGATGGGGCAGCCGTTTGCGGAGCAGACAGACGCTAAGCAGCATGGCTTGGACTCATCCTGGTACCAGCATTTAAGAAACTCAGGCCTCAGACCCCATCAGCTCAGCCTTCCTAGCCTCGACAGGACTCGGGGCAGAGCAAATATAACGGGTTTAGGAAGAGACAGTCCAAGCCCAGCTGCTTCTGTCCTAAGGCTGCCTCTAAGCAACCATTCTGAGGGTCCCATCGAGGACAACGTACTTCTCACACGGTAGGATCCTTTCCCTGTGACCTTTCCTCCCAGCCTGGCACTCTGTCACCACAGGCTGCTGGGTCCTCTGCACGGTGCAGCAGGGTTATACCCACCAACTCTCCTCTCCCCGGTCCCCCTCCCCATCCCTCTTCAGGGACCCTGCCCACGAGATGCTCCTTCTACAGGAAGCCAAGATCTTGCTCAGACCGGAGGCAATGGAGGAAGTTGCACAATGCTACTGGAACCAAGGGTTTATTACCACTACTTTCTAGTCCCCCCGGGTGAGAGGGGGGCTCCAGCCCATTTGGGACCTGCACAGGATGAACCGCTACCTGATGAGGCTGAGATTCCATATGGTTTCCCTGACCTCTCGTTCCCTCCCTGGATCCGGGCGTTTTGTGCGCTGCCCTCGATCTCAAGGACATTTACTGCCACATTGCCGAGGGTCACAGTCGTTTCCTGCGTACCGTGGTGGGAGCGAATCGCTGCCAGTTTGCAGTCCTCTCACTTGGCCTTGCCACAGCCCCTCAGGTTTGCACCAAACACCTGTTGGTGGCGCCCACCTTCAGAGGCCAGGGCTGCAGATCTACCCTTACCTGGCCTATGGCTTCTCGATGGCAACTCCAGCGCCAAGCGCCTCCCCACTTCCTCCAAGTGGTAGCAGATGCTTTGGGCCTGGGCTGAAGCGCCCATCTCAGTGCTCTCCGGGCCGTTCGTAGGGCATGCAACATCTTCCTCCCTCACCTGGTGGGCAGGGTGTCCAAATCTTCATGGACAACGTGGCCATGATGTCAAACGCCAGGGAGAAGGGGGGGGGCCAGGCAGCCACACTCTGTCCAGAGGCGGTTTGCCCCTGGCAATTCTGCATCCAGCATGACATTCATCTGGAGGCCCGTCCCCTTCCGGGCGCAGGAAACCTCCTGGCCAATCAGCTGGGCAGGGAGTTTTCTCACCATGAGTGGGCTCTTCATCCGAAAGTCGTGGCCGTGCCCTGCCGCAAGTGGACCTCTTTGCAACAGGGCAGAACATGAAGTGTCACAGCTTCTGCCCGAGTGGTCGCAAGGTCCCTGGGAGCTGCCTTCGTCCTTCATGCCCACTCAGCCCCGCGGTTCCGGGCAGGGCCAAGCAAGAGCGCTCGCAGCGTGTTCTCGTCGCACCAGTGTGGCCTTGGCAGCAGGGAACTTGTCACCGGACTCCCAGGGAACCAATTCTCTGTGCTTTACGCTTTCGTTACCCAGCTGCTGTCGCACCTCGCAGCCAGGGGATGTTTCAC